CACTATGCTCTGTTACATGTCAATGGGAATAAAATGGCATATTCTCCAAGCAACACTGAACATCCTCATCAGAATGACGTCTTATTCAGAATTACTGGTGTCCATGTTAACATAGTCAGTGCAGGACTGAGTGATAAATGAAAAGTAAATACAGTGTGTGAATAGTTTTTTTCCGTCACTGTTAAATTAACGTTTTTCTTATTTATCCTTAGAACAAGCTGGTATGTTTACTCATGCAGAGCAGATGATGGTTTATAAAGCAGAGTGATAATGAATGATTGGCTAAGCCCAGAATGAAAATACACTTTGTGAGGTCAACAAGGTTGAATGAGTGCACGGCCCGAGCTTGTCTGATCTCAGAGCCAGAGCGTTCTTTGGCTGACCACACAACATTGACTAATCATCCAGTGGTGAAAAGAACTCGGCATCTGTCGTCCTTTGCCTTGTCACGCTATCAGCAATTTGGGGTTTGATGCAGATGTCATCATATCTGAGTAATCGATTTATAAACAGTACAACATCTATATTTATTGTTTCCTGGGATCTCAGCCACAACGGAAACTGCTAGTTGAGATGAAACATGATGGAATCTTCCGCTCTGTGACTTCGCCTCAGCCTCCTCATGCCATTCATTCTATTGGTGTAAACTTCCCACACTCTGGTGAATTTCACTTCTGGGTTCCAGTTTAATATGACCACCCATTGACACACACACACATACATACCCTAACCTAACCTCACCCAAACTATCAGAGCACTTAGAGATTCCAGGATCCCACAGTAAATTGACTTACTGCCACACTCCCTCTAATCTCAGATTTTCAATCTGACTTTATTCTTGTTTAATCCTCCTCCTGTCTTAAATCTGACCACTACTCAGATGAGGATTGGTCACGATTTGAACGCATGGATCAAGCAAAAATGTTTAAAAAGACGACTTCTCAATCATGCACTCTCTTTCCCCTTAAGACAGGAATGAATTGCCTTTTGGTTGCCATGCGGGGACCACTTTACACCTTGACGTCCTGTAAACGTAATTTGTAAATTTACTTCAAGTCAAACTAAATGGCTTTAATAACCCTCTATCATGTCGGGTGTCTCCAGCTTAAATGCAGATGCAATGCATTTAGAGATGAGAAGTTTTGATGATGTATCGGTAAGGAAATGTTAAACTTCTGCATCACAGCTTAAAACCATTTAGCTGGATGTGATTCAGAATGCGTTGCAAGCTGTGTGTGGTTGCAGCAATGCATGTAGCCCTTGTACACACAAGCTAAATTTGTAGTGCCATGTCGTAACAGGAAATGATGTCACCGATGCCCTTGGAGCTCAAAATCTTGAAACAGATCATCAACACTTACATATAGGGAAGTTTTTTATTTTCTGCATGAAATGTAACATTCTTTTTCTCTCTTAAAATGTATGAATAATGTCAACCAAATTAATATATCTCTCTTTTTTTATACATATTTTCTCTGATGATATACTCCTACTAACTATACACCTGCATTTACGTCATCTCTCTGTCCAACATCTTCAGTTCAACCACAGCTGCCCACCTCTGTAGGTATAGTTCCCACTTGAAAAGAGCTGTACAAAGTAAGTGTCTTTAAAACAGTGGAGGTCCTCCGCTTTGCTGGTGAGTCACAGGCAAAATACCAGTATTGTTAATGTGAACTGACCACTGAGTATTACTCACATCTTTATTTTGCTGACTTTAAAATGCTAAGTTTGGAAAATGTGAGGCTTTTTGTCAGTTAATGGGTTTTTCTTGGTTGGAGGTGGACACATTTTGTTGAGCTCTTATTTAACCTGTTTTTGAAGGAGTGGCGGTCACTGGTTTCCTTTTTTCCCTGAACCCAACACAATACTATCAGCAGTCTGGAGACTCAACACAGGAAATGAGCAGCTTGAACCTAAAGATGAAACAAAACAGACTCTTAACAGACATTTTACCAAGTAGCCAGTGATGTAAAAACAAAGCTCACCCACGAGGAGCTTGAGGAAAAAATATCTTTCTCATCTTTCACTTCATTCTCGTGACTTTTGATTTTCTGGTATTCCTTTGATCACTGGCACTGTATATTTGTATTCCTGTGTGTCCTATTACCAATGCCAGCAATGTTAAATAACTCAGCAAGTACAATGGGAGGTGTTGCATTTCACACAATGTTTGTTTTTTTGTCACATTTAAGTCATAGTGTACCGTAAGCCCTCTTTGTAAGTGGCTGATTCAAATTGAAAGCATCAAGCTTCAACACAACTTTTCACATCAACTCGAATGTAGCTTTTAATCATTTGGAGAACAAAATACAGCAAGTACCTTATCGTCCTACACTTTTATATTTAGCCTGTGTATAAGATAAAGGTACAGTAGTTTTCTCTATTTAATAAGATATAAGGTCAGAGCTCGGTCAATGGCACCCCCCTGACAGAATGCTTACTCGGCTGTTCAGAAAAATTTGCTGATACCTTGAAAAACCTGAAATATCCTGACCTGGACAAGAAAGGTGAAATGTTAAAAAAGAAAAGAGCAGAACAGCAGAGGGCATTTGTTCAGTGGTCTGGTTTCACTGACCATCTGTTAGACAGGAGCCTCAGCTGTTGTTTGATGGAGATGTCTGGATGCTGTGCCGTTAGAGATCACATTAATAATGGTTGAGCGATGAAAAGGAAATTAAACACACATCTGTACAACATCTTTTAACAATTAGTTCTGATCGAAGGGGCGGCAGGAGCACAATGAACCTGCTGTTAGAGGACCAGCAGAAAAATGTACTGATATGAGCGTTTCAATGTTTTTTGATATGCACCCATATGAACTTTAATTCTACAGAATAAACTATGCAGAAAAGCTGCATTTGTTTACATGTTACGTTAAAAAAAGAATTGTTATATGTGGTTGTTTTTGTTTTCTTTTTATTTATAATGAAGTACATAGTTAAACTGTAAAATCTCCAGCTTTCTGTCATTGTGCTTCTGACGACATGTCTCCTCGTCAGCAGTATTAATGCTTTGTAGGAAACAGTGAAAAGGTCTCTGTGAGAGGCAGCAGGTGCCCTCACACCTGTTTCTGTGATGCATGCCGCACATTCATGTACACAGCACCCGAGGCCGCAGCTGGCTGCACATGCTGTTAATGAAAGTGTGCTGCACAGCATTTGTTCCAAAAGGCCCATGCCTAGAGTGTCTGGAAGTAACTCAAGTTTGGTTTTAAACACAATTTTAATTTCAAAGGCCTTAGTTTGACCTAAGTAGCAACTATAAAAATCGGATTCACTTTTTTATATCAAAGTAACACCAGATTCGTTTTATTTCCTCCACTGTCTATTTGATTTAAATGTTCTCTCCTTGGATATTTGTCCCATGGTGGCATTTAAGTGTGACGCACAACAAAGACCTACTTGTTTAACTTGTTCCTTAAGATAAACTAGTGAGTGGCTCTTAACCTTGATGCTTTAATGTGACGTGGCCTGAGTTCTGTTTTTACCTTTTTATTCACTGTGCCTAAAGCATCACTGGTGTTTTCTCTGAATCCAAATATCGCTCAGATGCTGATCTCACAAACGAGCCTGTTCTCTCGTGGGTGTTTATTCAGTTCTGACAACTGTTAAACAGCCGAGTTGTGCGGACAAAGCACATCGGCTCAGTGAAGGCGACAGGCCGCCCGAGAGGTCCTGACTGGGGTCAGGTGGAGGTTGTACTGTGGGAAAAAGGGAGCATGGGAGTCTCAGCTGGTCACTTGTGTTTATTTCTTCCTGAGCTCTTTATTACAGTGACTTGGCACCAGTGTGACTGTATGTGTGCACTGTCATGAATTACCACATATATGTTCATGCAAATATGTAATAGAAAAATAAAGTCCCATGACTGTCACCACATATCACTTTTCTTTCATAACCCACTGGCAATATTTATTTATTTATTTCTCTCTTCTACTCTCTTCTCTCCTTATTTCTATCCCCCTCTTGTCTTCCTCCACTCTTTCCAGTGGTTAAAGTTTGTATAAAATGAACCCGTCTGACTCCGGGGACACATCAGAGGGTTGTTAAGGGAAAAAAGGGAATGCATTTCATTCGACTGCGAGAGCTCTAGAGATTCAGTCTAAACCTTCTTGATCCATCCTCTCTCTGCCCTGATCTGCTTTTATCGGTGTAAATGGATTTAAAACCTGATAAAATGAGGAACGCACTACATTTAAACATCCAATGACGGTCACATGCAACATATCAGAACAAAACCTCTTTTCTTCTTTTTACTTATAATACTCTTTTGAATGCAGTGACTGTTATTTCAAAAAAAGAGAACCACGTCTTATCACCTCTGATGTTGAGTTGTTGTGTCAGGGCAACAGCTACTGTGTCAGCTGAAGCTTTGCCTACATGGACAGGAAGCTGCTGGTGGTCTTGTGGCTCGTCACTGTGGCACTTTATTGAAGCCAGCATGCAACAAACATCTGTTTTAGAAGAATATAGTTTGACATTGGCCTGGTGGCCCAACCCTGTCTCACAGATGTAGTATAATCCAGACATTAATGGCTGATGTTGGGTGAGCTGCTACTACTGTCACCTCACAGCAAAAATGCTCTGCGTTTGAGTTTGTCCAAAGATAGAGATAAAGGATAAGTGGTATAGATAATGGATGGATGAATGCAAGTTGACTTGACGGCTTTGGTGGTTTTTTGTGACATAATGAACAATTCTCAGACAAAAGGAACCACATTAAGTAGTCACACAAACATCCTTTTGTTCAAACCCCTCTGAGCAGCAAACTGAAATCACGGCCTGCAACTTGTATGTATAAGTTTCACATCTGTTAGAAGTCATGGAACAGTTTGATCTCAATGTCTCTCCATGTCATAGACAGTTTGACACCCAGGCAGAAAAACAGTAGAGAGCAGGAAATGACCAACATACACCTTATTCATGTATCTGATCACATTGATATGGTTTATGCTGAATCTGATGATTATGAATGACTATTTGTCCGATTCTTTCCAGATTTTGACATGAAGAAGGACATAGACACACTGATAGCTGAGGAACGTGCTGAAATCATCTCTAAATATGAAAAGGTAAGTGTGAGCATGGGAAGACAATGTCACCTCCGTTCATGAAAGTCTCGATTACAAAGTTAAAGACGAGGAGCCAGTGTGTATCGCAGTAAACCAGAAGAGTTGATGTTTTTTCTTGAATAGAGGACCTGAATGGTACCTGTGACCCAGCAGGCAGTGGAAATGGGATTAAATGGAATGACCAATTAATGACACATTGACAGTGAATGTGTGTTTGTCATGAATTAGGGTTAAAAGCCATTTTAGCGCTCTTGCTGGAATAAGAGGAAACTTTCGTCCCAAGATAAAGCAGACATATCATCGGTCCGTTCATGTGTCCTCACCTGGCATTTACAGGTTAGCACCACCACCATGGAGGTTATTTTCCTCTGTGTTTATTAGTTTGTCTGTTAGTTAGCAGGATTACAGAAACACTACTTGACAGATCTCCAAGAAACTTGGTGGAAGGATGTGGTATGGATCAGTAAAGAAACCATTAAAACTTGGTTTGGATCCAAGATTGGCCGTTATTCAACATTTTCATGGTTTCTCAATAAATAATTCCCCAAATTAGTTTTGGGCACTGATCATTTTGAGTGTGTGTGCAAGTAAAAATCTGGATCTAGTGAATTTAAATGTGGATTCACCAGGAGACTTTCAGGACATATACACTCTAGTGCCATTCTAGTTCTTCTTGTTGTCTCTGTATCATGGTGTGTTTGCACACAGTATTTGTCTGTAAAGTTATGTATGTGTCTGTTTCAGGGCAGGCAGGAGGGTGTCAAAATTGACCCATGGGAGGAAGGCGACTACAGCATTTGTAAGATCACAGACCGTTTCGGCTTCCTGCAGTAAGTTACCCCGACTTAAAGATCTTCACAGCTTCCTTTTAGACTACACCTTCATTTGTATCTGTCAACTTTTTCTTTCTCAGATTATTTAAATATTCGTGTGAAACTTGGATTGTGTTCTCATTGGTATGTTGCTTATTTCTTCTTTTCCGCTCCAGTGAGGAAGAACTGCCAACACCCAGTGTGCTTGAAGAGAAGGTAATTTTTTTCCCTCCCCTCCATTGCAAGTCCACATTTTGACCTTTGCACGTGATATATTTAGACCCTCTCACATATCCAGTGGACCAGATGTGTATCAGTCTTTTCCTCTCTGTAGCAAAAGCACCAGGAGATGGAGCGAGTGGACAAATGGCTGAAGATGGTGAAGAACTGGGAAAAGTACAGGAACAGTGAAAAGGTGTGAATCTTGGTACCTGCACGCTCACTTACGTCCTGTCTTCATTTAGACATTGTTTTTGTTTTTATTCCAGCTGAAATATGTGATGTTTTCTTTCCACTTCCGTTCATAATCTTTTTTCTGTTCCCTTTTTAACCACCATTATCTCCGGTCGAGACAGCTAAAGGATAATACATGAAATGGGTCCTTGTCATTCAAGAGAGTTAACATTCATACATGACCCTCTGCCTCTGCCCTCTGGTTGTTGTGATGAAGGCTGTCTCTCCATGTTTAGAGAAATCCAATTAGAGTCTATTATATGTGTTTCAGCTGACGAAGCGCGTATATAAAGGCATCCCTCTGCAGCTGAGAGGCCAGGCATGGGCCTTGCTTTTGGACATAGAGAAAGTCAAAGAGGACAACAAGGGAAAATATGAGGTATGAAAATGAAACGGATCGCTGTCCTCTAAAATATGGATATTTTGTCGACTAGCTTTTTAAAACTCCCTTTCTTGTTTTATGTTATCCTCCAGAAAATGAAGCTGCAGGCTCGTAACTTCTCCACAGAGATCAAGCAGATAGACTTAGACGTCAACAGAACGTTTAGGAACCACATCATGTTCATGGACCGCTTCGGAGTCAAGTGAGTTCTCAGCTTCTCTCAGCAGAAAATTTTCTGGAACTGTGTGTTTCAATTCACCTGCACACATTACTGATGATTTCTTCATTTCCTCTTTTATAACACAGCATTACACCAATTCCTCTTAAAACAGTGGCATCTCAACCACTGAGTAGTTTCGTACCAATCCTACACAGACACAATGCTTATACTGTTGTGGGTCATGTGAGTTGTAGTTAATTTTCAAAACAAACTTCCTCAAGTTCTTGTATTTATTTTCTGCGTCACCTCACATGTTCAGGTTAGCCCTCACTGTGGCTCCTGCAGGGCGTGACACACACACACAGGCACGCATGCACAAAACCAATGCGGTTGTTTCCTCTTCTCAGTGTTTTATTAGTCTTCCTGTCAGTGCTCGAAGCCCCACAGGAAATGGCGTTCATACAGAAATGTGCAGCGACATGAAGTTTTCATGTACAGAGTAACGTTGTGCTGCCCGCAGTGTGAGCTTGAGACAACAGATGCAGACAATGCTGAAAAAGAGAAAAAATAATCAAACATAACTCAGAACACGGACACTGCTATGTTTTATAGCATTTGCCTGGTGATTGTGGGACAGTTGTGAAATCTACTGGATGAATTAAACTATTTGTGTGCTCTCCTCTTGCTCTCTGTTATGTCCTTCCCCTTCATTTCAAAGCTGCTAAGTCCAAGCAGACCAAAACACTCCTCCATCCTGCCCGGCTGCCCACTCCTTCCCTTTGCAAGTCAACAGCTGCCTCACTCACACAGACACTGATAGCTATTTAAAGCTGCTTTCCTGCCTCTGTCACTGTCTATAAGACAAGTATTTACTATAGAAGCCTGGAGGGGAGACATCCTCTCTGTGTCTACTTTACATTTATTAATGCCCCCGTTCAACACACACTCGCATGCAGTTACACAAGGGCTGCCTTGTGTTCGCTGTCTGGAACTGTCGAAACTCCAGATGCAATCAGCCGCGCAGCATGAAGCATGCAACCCTGCAGTCATAGAAACTCAATAGAGGCCACGTGCACTGGAAGAAACTATGTGATGAAGATCTTTTTGATATCTTGATATTCATGTGTCACAGTGTCTGCTCACATGAAATGAAATCGTGTCAAGCAAAAAACCTACTTCAGATATCAGCGTAACTGATCTCTGAAAACAGACCTTTTGTGTGTCACCAAAGAACTAATGGAAGACAGACGTCCTTACACACAGGCTCTTTAAGAGACACAGACAGTCCTGTCTCCATGGACATTACATTGATCTCCTGGAGACTTACTTGAACTTTAACCAAAGCTACTACTTGCCTAAACCTAACCCTAACCTAACCCTCAAACATGTCTTCACCTTAAAATGTATTGAATTATGTTATGGAGACTATTTGTCCCCATAAGGAAGACAATTCCATTACAACATGAGTAATACCTGGACCCCACACACAAATACACACACACACAGATTTACACTGCCAGGATTTCTCAACACCCCCACAAATATTTGCGCAGATTGATGGAGTTCATTTTGGGATGAGGAGGTTGAGAAGTCTTTGGGGGATTTTTTTCATTTAATAAACAGTTTCAGTTTGTTTGATTGTTGCTCAGGAATCACATCCTTGTTTTTAAACTGGTGGTTTCTCTGTTTCCTCTCTAGGCAGCAAGCGCTCTTTCACGTACTAGCTGCTTACTCTGTCTACAATACGGTAAGTGTTTTCGTGTGCGTACCTGAACACACCGAAGTGTGTGTTGCATAATATGGCGGAGTCTGGTGTACACACGCTGCACAAACCAGCCTTGGATTGCATTCGTTTCTGTACAGAAAAGCAAAGGCCAAACACTCTACACCAATCTGTTCTTGTCCTTGCTCAGAGCCTTGAGTGAGATCTTTTAATTAATGAGTGTGGCTCAGTCTGAACCTACAGCAGCACAGTTTAACAGTCAGACCACCTGTGAACCCACAGTCACACTCAGTAAAGTTCCGCTTTGACTCCTCATGCACTTCACGTAGCGAGGATAAATATTAGTGCTAAACCTAAATTGAGTAATCGGGGATTAGTCCATTCTTGCATAAAATTTTGAACATTTTGAACGTTCTCACAATCCTTTTTTTCCCCCTTGTCTTATAATATGATTGTTATTAATATAATATTAATCAGAATATATCTTGGAGTTTTGAAACGTTTGTTCTGACAAAGCAAAGAGTTTGAAGCTTCTATCCTGCATTTTGTCGTGATGAGTCAGTAAATTGAAGAAAAAATAATTCACTTTACAAATAGTAGCTACAGTATAACACATATTATTTGAATAAAACAGTGGTTATAAATAAGAGCAGTAATTTCCTATGACACTCCAAACCACATTCAAATATTAACTGTTTGTTTGAAATCTTTGTTTTAAAGTTCCACTGTCTTTTCTCTGCCATAAACCAGATTGTGTCTCAGTGAAGTAAACACAAGCTTTTACAACTGCACACATATACTAAAACACAGAACATTTCTGTATAGCTATGTTTTTATCTCATTATACACACGTGTATCCTTGTATAAGTACTGATTGCTGCCATGTAATATGGACAGAAATATTATTCAATCCAAAGAGACCTGTACAGGTCTTTCTTTCTGATTTGTTTCTGAAGTCGGTTCCTGTGTGGTAGAGGTGTTTCAACCAGAGGAAATGGAAATGTGCTGTTCCCCTTTTTCCTTTTTCCACTCTTCTCACATGCTGCTCCAAAGAAACTGGGTCAGTAGGAGAGCGTGAGGGAGAGAGGAGGGACGGATAAGGGAGAAAAGTGTGTTTGTCCTTTTCGCCAATGATGGTAGAAAAGAATGTGGAGAATGTGTAGTTTAAACTGTGTCACACTAATTATATCTACTAAATTTCCTTGAAAGGATACTTCGGAGTGTCCATTTCTGGCTGCTCAATATATCAGCTTAATATGGACAAATACCAGGTGTGTCTCTGGGTTTGTGTATCTGCGCGTGCCAAGCTCGATGCGTTCAGTGTAAATCATTGAATCATGGGGGAGTCAAATTGGCGGTTATTCAAGTTGAAGACATGACATTGGTGCGGATGTATTTTGGGCTGCAGTAAATATTTTAATAAGCTTTGGGAAAGTGTTTATGATGCTGTAGCTGCATGTACAGTGGGTCTGAGCAGTAAAACCACACACATTCACAGTCTGCCTTCAGACCACATCAGACATTCAGGTGCTCTTCTCCCTTCGTCTCTCGGCCCGTGCGTCTGTCTGGGCGCTATTAAATTATGAATAATCCTTTTCATTTGCTCATTCTGTTTAACTGAACTCATCTCTTCTGCGTTCCCTCAGGAGGTGAGCTACTGCCAGGGGATGAGTCAGATCGCTGCCATCTTACTCATGTATCTGAACGAGGAGGATGCCTTCTGGGCTCTGTCCCAGCTTCTAACTAACAGCAAGCATGCCATGCATGGTGAGACAGAGGAAGAAATACAGACAGAATGAAACTAGCAAACTCAAACAGCAAATACCTCGGTCCAGACCCAACAGTCTCTTTATGAAACCACATTTAATTTCACTAAATCCAGATTTTTATTTAGGTCTGCACCAAACTGCACACACTCATAAATATCAGTCCCCTAAACATGTCTGAATTTTTCCATCAACATATATATACAGTATGTATAAATACATAAATACACACACACCACAAATGTTTGGACATAAAAAAAACAGTTTCTTATTAAAAGGATAAAAATGTGTGGACCAATGATTTGGTCTTCACTTTTCTATTTCTAAATATTATGTCTCTGTCTCTGTCGCCTCACACCATTTATGGCCTTCTGATTTATTTTGTCTCTCCCCGGTGCCAGGGTTCTTCATCCCGGGATTTCCCAAGCTGCACCGTTTCCAGGCCCACCATGATCTTATCCTCTCCAAAATGCTGCCAAAGCTGAAGAAACACCTGGTGAGTCAGAGCACATTTGTATGACTGATGTCTTCAGTACATGGAGCTGTGGTAAGGGATTGCTCAGGAAGTCATGGGGCTGTTTTAAATCAAGTCATTTCTCTTCGTAATCTGATTAATTTATGATGCAAAAGGCCGCATGTTCAGAGTCGGTAAGATTTATAACTGAGAACAGATGAGAAGGCGCGACTTCCAGCAGACACCATTTCTCATTAACTCGTGCCCCACAGGACAAGGAGCAGATGACAACAGGGATTTACACCACCAAATGGTTCCTACAGTGCTTCATCGACAGAGTGAGTTGTTGTTTTTCAAGCCTATGAGCTGCATTAATGTTGCATCTCCAGATTGTCTCGTCCCAGATGTATTCTGTGTTTAAACACCATCTTTAATCCGTTCGCCACAGTACATCCTCTTCCCTTCAAGCATAGCAACACAACCGAGGTGGTTTCATGACTTTCAGACTTACTCTGCCGCCGTGTGTCTCCCATAACAGACCCCCTTCACCCTCACCTTGCGTTTGTGGGACATTTTCGTATTGGAGGGGGAGAAGACGCTGACCGCCATGGCGTACACAACCCTCAAGTTACACAAGAGTGAGTATGAGACAGATTTCTTTATCTTCCCTGCTGTGCTAAATGAGTGGATCTGTGGCTGCTGTTGCTATACAGCTGAATGTTTCTGTGCGGATTACGCTGCACGCTGCCTCGCGCTTGGCTGCCTCCTAACTGGGTGGCTTACATAATGCAAGTGGCCAGTTGCTGAGGAGAAGAATGGAAAGCTGACTTTTCATTGGATGCTTGCTTGAGCGTTGCCACAGCACGTTGGTCAAGAACACTTTCCTGATAGGACACTTGAAGATGTGCTTGAACTGTCTATTTGTCAAAGGTTACCTGACATTTAACTTAAAGGATGGTGCCACCCGTTCTATTGTTAGTTTTTGGTTGAATCCTGTCTCTGATTTGTGTTTCTTGTGTGTGTCCAATCAGAGCGTCTGCAGAAGTGCCAGTTAGAGGACTTGAGGGAGTTTCTCCAGGAGCAGCTGGCTGCTTCTTACTTCCTGCCTGATGATGTGGTGGTTGAGCAGTTACAGGCAGCTATGTCAGAGCTACGCAGTAAAAAGTTGGACCAGTCTCCTCCAGGTGCAGTTGTGTTCCTGTGTTTATTTATTTCTGTTACAGTATCCCAAAGTCTACTTTGTTGATAAGATCCCTATTTTCCATTTTTCTTTTTAGCCAAGCCAGACGAGCTACCAAAGAAACCTCTGGGTCAAGAGAGACCTGTTCTCCTACTGCCGCTGCAGCCTGACTCTCCTGTGGAGGTCAAAATAAATCTGCAGCCCCACAGCCAGCCAGATACAGAGAGCCAGCAATCAGACAGCAACACCATAGACCAGAACTCTTGTCCTGCAGAAGCCCCGGGTTCAAGAAGCCTCTCCGGGACAAACACACCTTCATTGCCTTCACCAGATCCAGTTGTAGTGCACACACAAAGAACACCTTCTCCTTGCAGAGCACCTCCTTTACCTCCAAAAGCAAACAAACCCTGTCCTGTGGTTGGGTTGGACAGAGATGTGAAGGAGACGCTCCAAGAGGGCAGACAAACTGAAGACGGGGGAGAACCAGAGAGTGCGCCTGGAGATCTGGAGACGCCGGAAGAGCCGATGGAGTGGCCTCCACCTTATATACCTCCTCCTCTGGACACTCCTACCATGCAGACTGAGGAGGAGATCATGGACCTTCCGGATCTGCCTCCTCCACCTTTCTTTTACACTGAGCAGATTGACGAAAGGCGCCTGGATTGTGAATCTCCCCGTCCAGGGAGTAGGACCGGACCAGAGACCCAGTGCCACCCTGCCTCTCCGTGCTCAGCCTCACCGCTGGTCACTCAAAGGAAGCTGCCTCCGAAACCACCCGTGTCTCTTGATGTCACAAAGAAAAAACCTCCTCCTCCACCAAAGCCTTACCTTCCCTGTGCCCTCACCTCCTCTCCCAGACTTCCTCCGCCAAAGCCAACCAAGTTCCCAGTCTCTCTCTACGTCCCGGCGCCTGCGGGCAGCAGGCGACCATCCAACACCTCCCAATACGACAACCTTTCTGAGGTCGATGAGGATGACCGCTACCTGGAGCGGCTGCTGGGCTCCACTCCTGAGGAAATTCCCAGCATGCACAGCAATCCTCAGCGCACAATCAATAGAGATTACGACCCAGCTCTAAACCCTTTGCCTCCGCCTCCTCTCTTCATCCCTCCTTCCCCTTCTCCCACTCCTCCCTCGCTGTGCGCTCTCCCCAGTTTGCCACAGGAGCCTGAATATGAAGGAGAGGACAGCTGGGTGGAGGACTCCATCCCCCCCCCTCCTCCACCTAGTTTTGCAGACAGACTCAGTCCCCTCCAGTGTAGCGCTGCCAGCTGTTCTGACACACACAGAGCCACCTCGCCCAGTTACTCGAAGCCCTTCTCTCGGGGCCCCAGGGACCGTTCTGCCTTCCCAGCTCCTCTCTTATACACCAGGTCTCCCCCAGGCATCTCCAGGTCCTCAGGACAGTCTGCAGTAGGCGTCCCGTTGGTTCGATCCAGCCCAGACTTTTGCAGGATGCCCCCTGGTGGACAGCCGCTGCCCAAATCAGTGACATTTTGAAAGTGTCAGTCAAGCGTTACTGGTCGTAACTGAATGATTCAGACTCTGTAAATGCTCGATTCCTTTTCAACGCCCTGTAAGAGGTGAAAGGCCAGTACTCAGTGTTTGTGTGTGTGCATGTGTGTCTGAAAGGACTTTTTTTCATTGATATGTACAGATTTCTGTGATACTTGCACCTTTTGTATTCGTAGTTAACTTTTCTAAGTTGTCAAACTTGTATTTAAAACTGCTGTCTGTTTTACTGTGCGCTGCACAAAAAAAGGAAAGCGAGCGTATTAAGTCGTCAGCGTGTGAAAGCACATTTGTTTTTCAATTCGATGGAAGTTCAAGAGAAATTCACACAGAAATAACACAGGGGATCTAATTTCAGCTGCGTGTTTCAGCTTAAGTCAATGTCCTTTTTTCTTCCCCAACAAAGTGTCTTAACCTGACCACAGTGCACTGATGGCAGCGACTCTAAACTCACGGGCTTGTGAGGCTGTAGCGTGACGTCACCTTTGCTGAAGCACCCAAAGCCTAAACGTTTATACGGCATTATTGTGGTGAACAGTGAGCAGGCTCACACGTCTTGGGTCTATTTCGAACTATTCTGAGACGCTGTTTCTTTATTACATCGTCAGGTCAAAGGACCACAAAACCAGTTTCTATGGGAGCTTTTAAAATGACGACTAAAGCAGCAGCAGAGACATGGTGCAATATGTCACTGGTATAAATACTTGGAGGGGGGGGGGGGTTCAGGTAGGTAGCGGCGGGTACTTTGTGGGTATTTCTCTGCTTTTGATAAGTTAAAGATAGTATTGTCGGGATGTTACATCAGTTTGTCAGATACTTGAGTTCACAGCAATAATGCACTGTTACATGTTGTCGAGGTGAAGACGGAAATGAGACCAGAATGCTTCATTGTATATCGTCAGTGCACACTGGTTTTAAAGTAATCAAAGACAGAGATTTATGAAGAGTAGCTCCCTCTAGTGGTTGGAAGTGTTGCAGCTGGACTCTGGTTCTAAATTGATGACATGCTTGTGGGGAAAGTCGTCCTGTCCGTGGTGTGACTCCCACCGATAACGCCCGTTTATGAATGTGCACGGAGCATAGGCTGTTTATAAATCTTCATATATTGTCTGTGGGAGTAAACTAGACTGAAGGAAACGAGGCTCCATATCACGCTGTTCTGAAGTGTCAGAGAATTTAATGAATCAAAGCTACGTTTCTTCACATGCAGCCATAATTCAGAGCCATTGCAGTAACTATGTTGGTTTGTTTAAATCGTGCAGAGCAAATGTTAAGGAATGGAAGTTGAGCCATATACAATATAAGGACCTGACAGTAAAACTTGTTTCATATTGTTTTGTTTAATTATACTGTATATTACATTATTTACAGCCTCAACATGTTGTTTTTTTTGCACTGACCTTTTTTATTTCCAGGTTTTGCAGTTCTTTGTAATCAACTGTTGTTTTCTAACAGAATTTCAGGTTTAACACAAAAATCATTAATCAATTTAGCCGGAAATGTTAACGGATGTTTCATGGTTTGTTCATGAACTTTGGCCTGACGGCTGGGATTCAGACCCAAGAGCTCAGACCACTGCTCCTTTTATGGTCCTGCGAGACATCAGGGCTCAGACCAAAGCTTGTGTACATTTATGCATCTACATGTTTTGACTTTTATAAAGAGATAAATCCAGAGCTGTCTGTTTTCTTCTCCTCCCCACTGAGACAAAGCATATGTGGTTTCAGATACTTATTTTATTGCACACCCACATAATCAGGTAATTTTCCTTCATGTACATATCTTAGGTATCGATTTACACAAAGTAGACAAAAGTAAGAAAAGCCATTTTAAATATTAAGGCATTTTAAAAGCTTTTTCATCTTGTAATTAAATGTGGAAACAGCACTTAGGTGACAAATGAGGCCATTAAAATTCAAAACCTGTTACCAGCATCATACTGCATAACATATACATTCATACTTTATTTTCCCACACCTTGATTTTCTCCAGAAGAATGAATTAAAAAATTAAATTATCATACAAAACTTTAGCAGTTAGTGACAAAAAATTATTTTTAAGTCACGAGTATTAAGAATTTAAGAGTTTAAAAATATATATCAGTGCATTCATGCAGCGTTCCAAATGTTCGATGAGACAAAATTAGTAACTTCTCTTTGTGCTGGTAAATTGCAATACAAAAATACATTCTGTACATTGTGCACTGTTTTTCCCCACATTTAATACACAGTGACAAGGGACGATAAAAAAACAAATTGTGTTGTTAGATTGCACGTTTTTATATAAGACAGAACTTCTGTCTATAACTTCATAGGTAGCAGCTTAGCAGCTACTCCCGCAACGATCATCAAAGCCACAAACTTAGAGAATCATCACATCCGGAGCTGACTCATGAGATTAGAAAGGGAGGTGACGCTGCTTCTGAGTTTCTCGTCTTCTTCTTTTCCCAGCGACACTCCGGCCAGACGCGTGGAGCCGTTCGATCCCATGATGCACGGCAGGCTGAGGAACACCTCCGCACCTATACCACCCCAGCCCTAAAGCAAACAGAACACACGGATGAACCAGTGGAAGAGAGGGTTGACGGTGCACTTGATGCTTTTACTCTTGATGATGATACCTGAGCCAATGTGGACACAGAGTGGGTCTTCATTGCGTTTGTCAAGACACTGTTTGTGATGTCCGCGATGGACAGACCCACAGACCACGACCGCTGGCCTCGATTCTTCATGAGCTCAAACGCTCTGCAAAAGAAAAAATGATTTACTTCTAAACTCAATCAGAAGACAAAAACAATTTTGAACCGGTGAATCAATCAGAGGCCTCTGTGTTCTTACATTTTCTCATCCCATCTACTTCACTAAATTCCTATAACAGCACCTGTGTCACAAAATCTTCAAAACACCAGATTACACAATCTAAATCCGTCTCCTACTCGCGGTTTTACTCAATCGTGTCCGCACCTGTCTAACAATGGTTTGGTAGAGCTGGACCCCGGGGCGATCTCTGGCTGCACGCTGGAGCTCAGCCTAGTGTTACTCATCACAGCAACTGTAGGACAAAAACACAAAGCTCAGTCGTGTGCGTCACTTGGGCAACTGGCCTTGATGAGAGAATACAAAGAACACACTCGAGGAGCAGGTCGTGCAGCATTACTGCTTGTGCAAAGAAAAGGGCAGATGAGGGTGATCACACACGAAAAGATGTGGGGCAATCAATGGAAGAGTTGCAGAGCATTCACCGAGATGATTCAAGTGACAGTGCGTGTCAATATTTAATGGGTCGTCTCTGGCTCACCTTTGTTGTCCGACAGTTCTCCTATGACCCAGGCTGGTTTGTGGGTATTAAGGTTTATATCCAGGATGTGACTGAGTCTCTCTGAGTCCAGGTTGCACCCTGCACCAATCACCTGTGTCGGAGGTAAGCTACTCTGTCTCCAGGCGACGTGGGTCATGATGTCCACTGCAGGTGGAGCAAAGAGGGAGACGAGTTGAGTGAATAAAAAGGTCAAGAAGCAGAGAGGTCAGTCTTCGGCTTCTCACCTGGTTGGGAAGCGATGAGCATCACGGCGTTGGGACTGAGTCGTGCCAGGTTTGGGATGATTCCTCTGTACAAGTCCACGTTCATCTGAACCAAACTCAGATAGGATTGCTCACTGCTCCATGCATTTGCCGTCACCACGATGACTGTGGAGCCTGCGGAGGCCGAGAAATCTGGCAGAGGAGAGGAGAGTCATCGGGAGTTCACTCCTGCAAACATTTAGCAGACCTAGCAAAGAACTTGCAGAAGCTTGAAGCATTTATGTTTCTAGCATCAGACACTGTGTTGACTCTCATTTGATCCCTAATGGACGCTTGTTTCTTTCTTATCATCGACAGGTCGACGCTCAGGATCAGAACAGCAGCTGGTTAGGCTTGAGTCATAGAGGCGGGTCATTCCCGACAGTCTACATAATGTCATCCAGTTACCTGTAAGACGATCTGTCGTCAGTGATATCTCAGCCAAGAGGCATTTGTGTGACAGTGCAGAAAGTGACGTACCTCTGGAAATCTCAACGTTTGGCAGAGTGAAAATCTCAAGGTCTGTGCTGCCTCCCTTGGTAGAACTGTCAGCGACATCAATGAAAACCAGTTTATCCACTTTACACTGTAAATTAAAGGGAAGATGAGCTGTTAGCATTGGAATTCATGAGTCTGACATTTTAATTCAAGCGGAGACGATGTGTCACGCCTGAACAAAAATAGAAAACGCTTTTTTTACCTTCGCCAAAATACTCATCACAGAAGCCATTCCTAAATCTCCTCCCCCGATAACTGAGACTTTGTTGATCTGTTGGTTGTGATGTCTGCTTCCACCTGGAATGGACACGAGTTAAGCTACTGATAGAAATTTGATAATTGATTATCAATTAGAAAGCTGCACATGAAGTGAAGCACCATCATTGATCTGGAGGTTAGAGACGAATGCCAGGAGCTCGTGGGGGTCTTTGTTTTCTCCTGTGCTCTTCGAGGACAGCGGAGGATCCTCCTCGAACTTGGCGATCATCTCAGTCAGAAGAGCCACCACGGACGACTTTGGCTGTTTAAAACAAAAACAATTTAAAACAGCAGCGGACCTGATGAGGTCACCCTCTCTGTATGAGGTTAAAAGATGGATCGAGTGAATATCGAGACCTACATGATCCCAGTTGCGTAGCCCCGGCAGATGAATGCGTCCCTTGGCATCAACGTGCTTTCCCTCTCTGACGACCATGTTATTGGTCGGTCTCAGGAGGCAGATGGGAGGAGTGAAGGGGAACGAGTCTATGAGCCACAGCTGAATGGGGAAGTTGTAGGAGCGGCCTGTGGGATAAAGACAGCACCAACATCATATTGACGTTGACCCCCACAGTCACATACTCACAGTGTTATTTCTCATCACATTCAGAGGTCAGACTCACCATCGTACTGGACGGGGATGTTGCCGACTAATCTCAGCAGATCTTTCTGGGTGCTGTCACTGAATGCTGAAAGTGACCAGAGGAGCAGTGAGACCAAATACAAATCTGACGTGTATGAGAGCAGAGGTGGGGTAGAGAGAAACTCACTGTATGTGCCGGTGGAAGGTTTCATCCCCGGATAGATTCGATGGATTTTCTGCAGCTCCTCAACAGCAACATCGTGGAATTTGTACTGTTTATCAGGGGAGTGGGGGGGGGAGAAGACACGTCTGTAGATGAGCAACTCATTCTGGTTTTATTTAGCAACTCAGGACCAGTCGAAGACTCAATGATGGTAAATGCTACAGCAGCTACACTGGAAGAAAGGGTTTGCAGAGCATATTATATAAGAACCATCTTCCTTCTGCTCCTTTTCATTCAATAAAGTTTTGTTTGGTCAATTAATGAAATAATCTTTCATATAAATAAATATTCAGGAGCATTTGGAAAGCAGTCACTCAAAGACAATGTGACAAAAGTTTGTATATACATATATACATATACATTATATACATATAATCCCATAATTCCTTTAGTGATCACTTTATAGAACACGGCTGTAAACAGCCCAGTGTTTACATTCAACACTGGAACCTGTGAGCTGCTCGATGATACGTGTTGTTTCCAGAGTCAGTGAAGTGACACAGCTGGTTCAGCCAGTTAAGTGGAAGCTAACAGCTGCTAACAGGCTAAACTAGCTTCCCTTGAAAACACCAAAGCTCTCTCCGGAGCGAAGCTGAGACCGATCATCTACCTTCGAGAGGATCCGCTGTAAGTTCCCTGAGCTGAGGTCCATCTGCTCCGGTGAAGACCCAAACCACAGAGCCCGGTTCTGTCAGGAGACACTTCTCCTCCTCACGCTTCGCTCCGACTCCAGCTGCGACTACTTCCGCAAACTCCAGGAGCAGCCGAGACGTGAGGAGGCAGACCCCGCCCACTCCGTGCGTCAGGTACGGCGAGTCCAGAGGGACGACAACTCGTGACGACACAGAGCGAAACTGACGTCACTGCTGTCATCAGATCAGTTTTCAAGTTTATTTCAAGAAAATCAATAACTTTTAAAAAGTCATGTTAAACAATAATCCACACGTTATATATATATGTATGTATATATATGGAGAAAAGATTTCATTGCTTTCACGGAAAACTAAAAAAATACAATTTTCTCAAAGTGATATTTTCTGTAGAATCTAAATTCTTTATATATTTTCTGAGATAACATTGATGTAAAACTTAAGACGTTTAAATAAAACCCACGATGCAGCCGTTTCCTCGTGATCAAATCCTTTTAAAGAGAAACAAACACGTTCAGTGGTTTTCTGCATATTCAAATTGACTTTACCATCAAAGTTAACCTGGAAAAATATGCAACGTCTTTTTGCTCAAAAATAGCAAATCAACACCGCTTGGCATTCAATGCCATCGTTAGTCTTTTAGAAAAACAAAGATCACACACTTCCATATCAATTCTTCTCTTTGCAGCTTAGATCCTTTTAGGAATGAACCCTGCTTAATAAATAATGCAACAGGGAAACATTTGAGAACTTTTCATGATATCCCAACAACCTAATGGTTGACTGATTTGTGCGTAGGACCTCCCGACCTTCAGCCTGTCAGGTTGTCTATACATACAATTTTTCTCTTTTCCTCTGGAGGCAATGTCACTCAGGTTTTTGTCCAAACAAGAGAAAACCAGACATAAAGCAATGGACGCCAGGGTGTAAACAATCTCAAGGCTTGATGAGTTAAGATGGCAGACCTATTGCTCCATGTTTCCAGATACACAGGCTTCTTTTAATAATTCATTTATTCAAGGACTTCAGTTCTTTTTTGGTCTCTTCGTGTTTTTCCTTTTCAGCTCCTCTTGTTCTTTTTTCTCCTCCTCCAGATCTTCTAACACAGCCATTTTCAGGCTAAGGAAAACAAGGAAAAGATCAAATTACAAGAAGCAGGTAAAATAAATATTCGGAACAGAAAGCTTCTATGTGGTGTTTAGGCCTGTGAGGTTCGGTTTATTGTCATCTTACCTCCTGGCCTCTTCTTTCTGCATATCTTTCCAGCTGCTCTCCATAAATTTAAGGGCATAGTCACTCTCATCCTTGTATCTGAGATGTTAAAAGCAAATGTTAGTTTTTCATATAGAATTTTAATTGAATTATATCAAAATATGTCAAAACGACACCTACTTGTTTCGATCATATCCAAAAATCTCCTTTATGTGCCTGGAAATTTCCTCTGGTTCGTTGCCTTCGTCATCAATAAAATCGTCCATTTCTGAGTCGTACTCGTCTTCCTCATCTTCGTATTTTCTCTTATAGGCAGATGTGATAGGTGGCAACATGGTACCTGGAGGACAGAATTTCATATTTAAAATATGAGGTACTGGATTTGTATTTTTGCCACAACCAATATTCCATCAAGTAGATGTTTGGTCTTGATTCAGGAGTTGAATTTTAACATTTAAAAAATGATTAAAAGATACTGGGATGGACTCAAACACTGAACAGCAGGCAATTGAATCATGTGCAGAGATGAACGGCATTCCACAGGGTTCAATTTTAGGCCACTGTCTATATTTATAAAATTGGCAGGTCCTTAAATACACGTAATTTCACATTCTCCCATTTCTAGTCTTTAACATCTGGATGATGTCAATAATTATGTTTTTTCAATTCATCACTGACAACCATATGGACTCCATCATCCATCATTGTGTTTTGTATCAGATGGTGGGGACTGTCTTAAGTTTCTATGAGGCAACATTTAAATGTTATGATTTGGTATTACTACATTTCTGCTGTGGCCATTTCATAACGCCATTTTATTTTATTGACAAGAGTCAGTTTGTTTTTGGTAGAATGTCAATGACTGAAATCATGTGTGGTTTATCTACGAACGTTCTCTGACCCAGGATTAATGACAAAGACTGCAGAGTGCTGCTGAAACGTTTCATTCACTTTGACAAACAAACTCTTTGCCCTGTTAAACTGACTGTGTTGTTTCAAACAAATTGGAAAATCTTTTAAAAGCTTTATTTTACACGTATATGATATTGTATTCATTGTGCCACCGTATTCATTTTAACACTAAATGAACCTGATTTAACTGTAGTGAGAACCTTAGTTTTCACATTTATATTAAAAAGTAAAAGCAGCTTCTCTCCAGAGGACTGTTTACATTTAGACTGTGTTAATATGTCCTGCATTTTGAAACCTTCTGTACTAAAACATACTTGATGTTGACGTGTATTATTTGATGATGTTAGGTCTCACTCCTTGTGATACTAGAGTTATAAATACTCTATTTAGTCACTCTGGTTGCAACCATGAACCAAATATGAAGAAGTAGGAACTTGCTGACTGGTATAGGAAGTCTCATTTTGAGCTGTGACCATGAGCTCTTGCCACATCGACTGCATTGCTTTGATCCTAACACACTTAAAAAAGGCAGATTTTCCTCAGTCAATCTTTGTCTGTATTTCACATGTGTCCTTACATCCTTCAGTTTGCTGTATCTAATGACCTGGATTTAAATGTTATTTTAATTTCAGAATTACTGCTATTGTCTGTTTTATTCATATCAGCAGCTCTGTCTGTCTTAATTTTGGCAACTTGTAATGCTGTCCTGAAATGTGCAGTACAACTGACTGTTACCACTTGCTCAGGGTTAGCAACGTCATAGCATTATTGTTTCCCCGGTTATTACCTGGTGGTCTGTTCATCATAGGTCTGTTCATCATAGGTCTGGGCTGCATGCCGGGTCTCTGTGGCATGCCTGGCCGAGGAGGGACTCCTGGTCTGGGTCCACCAAAATTCTTGGATGAAATGGTCTCCGACACCACAGTGCACTTTGGTCTCCCAGGTCCTGATCCCATCATACCTGTCGAGCGTCCAGGTACTGGTCCCCCACTACCAGGTCGACCGCTTCCAGGCCCCGGAGGTCGGTATGCATTACCTCCAGGGTGACCCAGCACACCACTACCACCAGGCCTGGCTTGTGGAGCACCACCTTTTGTCTGGAATGTGCCTCCAGGCCTTTGCTGAGGTTGGCTCCCTGCCTTAGGAGGGCCGCCCGATGAATTCCTCATCACTGAATTACCGTTTGATTTTACTGCAGAATTAATTCCAGTCTTTATAGGTTCTCCCTTTCCGGACCTGTGGCCTCCAACTGCGGCCCCCTGCTTCATGGAGCTACCCTGACTGGGCCTGTTCTGCTGGGAGGACCCTTGTTGAGATTTTAGGCCTGTTAAAGCTGTACCAGAAGGTCTGGTCCCTGGAATACCTGAAGCTCTTCCTTGAAGTGATGACGTGCTTTCTTTTCTAAGGTCACTTGAGATGCTGGATTTGTGGCTAGATGTGGGCTTGGGGGGCCCTTGTTTGGTTAAACCCTGAGAGGAAGTTTTTGAAACAACTTTAGTGTTTGTGGCACCAGATGAACTCAAACTAGTCTTGGATCTGTCTCTATCACTGTGGGATGTTTTGGGTCTGTCTCTCTCTCTGTCTCTAACAGAGGACTTAGAAGACGAGTGGCCTCTGTCGCTTTGCAACTTCTTCCCTGACCCACAGGGCAGACTTTGTTTTTCTAATGAGTTCTTTTGTGGTTTGCAGTTCTTCTGCTCCTTCTCTAAAGTACTTGTCCTTGTTGAACTGGAGCCAGATTGAGACTTGCCGTCTCTCTCTCTCTCACCTTTTGAGTCCCTGTTTTTCTCCGGTCTCTTGGCCTTGCGCTCCATCTCTAGTTCCCTTATCTCTTCAGCTGTGCGTAGCCGCTCTTCTTTTTTCGATGCCTTAGGTTTTAGATCAACTGGCTCAAACTGCTTCTTCTCTGCCAACTTGAGTAAGTCTGCAAAGTTCAATGGAGGTGGAGCAGACTTGGGTTTTTTCAAGGAGGACTTGCTGCTGCTGCTACTACTACCACTGCTACCCCGACTCACAGCTGTGGGTTTCACTGGTCTCAGCGGCTCCGGCTCAGGCTCTGGCTCTGAATCCGTCTGTTCATACTCATAGTTATCCTCATCGTCCTCTGGGTCAACTGAGTCATTCCTAAATCCTTGTCCATCCATTGATTTTTCATCCTCCATATCGTGTTTGGATCTCCGTTTCTTTGGCAACTCAACCATCGGGATGCCATTGTAGCCTTTAAAATTGTCCTTAGTTCTGGAAGCCATCGCTCTTGCTTTGCGGTCCGACTTCAACTCAACCCTCTTGGCGTTTAGTTTCTCCTTCTCCTTCTTCATTTGAATTTCTGGGGGGAAAGTAGAACGTTAAAGGATGAATTAATCATAAATTGCGTACATCATGTTTATCCAACATCGTTGTCATTGTCACCTTTCTTCTTGGTATCAATTTGCTGCTTCTTCAGAAGCGCCTGCACAGCAGCGGGGTTTACGCCTCTCGACTTCGGGTCCTTTTTCGGTGGTCCAGCTTGCAAACTGTATCTCTTCTGCTGAAAGGGAGACAGACACAGATTTATTGAATATGGAGCAGTTACACGCTTCTCTGTGTTGTTTACAGTTCACAGACACTTATTGAGGGACGGTTTCTAACAGGAATTATCTGATTCCTTTCAGTAGAAACGTGGCAGGCAGACTACTCGTCTTCACTACCTAGCATGCAGTGTCACGAGGGGTGGAGGTTAGCAGCTAGCCGCATTATCAGCTCCTCGGTGACGGATGAGCTGGCATTTGAGTGCTTTCAAGACTGACCACAAATCTCCATTTTGCCATCTGGCCCTCGGGTACCTGAGAGTGTCAGTCGTCACACATTCATACCTGGACGTTGCTGAGTCCCTGGTTTTGCGAAGCGATGTCCAATATGTTGTCGAAATCCATCATGTCCGCAGGGCAGGAAAGCTAAGTGTCTGAGGCGAAGCGAGCAGAACTCACAGCAGCAGCTGAAACCGTTAGCATGAAGCTAACAGACCCCCGTCCACCAGCGCAGGGTTTAATTAAACAACCAGCACTCGAGTAGATGGAGGAGAAGAAAGAAAGAAAACTCTGGGTCAAAATCAACACATGGTGAGAAGAAGAGGATGAAGTGTGTGAACCGGACAGTCAACGACACTTCACTTTATCAGCCGAGGTTAGCACATGCTAGCCGAGTTAGCTAATCTAACGTTTACTAGCAAAAACCGACCCAGGAGCCTAAAAGAACTTTGTGCCGGTGTAACACGTCGCGCTGAGCCCGGGTCCATCAGAGGAGCTGTGGTGTTTAAGCCCGATGGAGGAAAAACAGTAAAAACTCCGCCATAAGTGTCACCGGTGGTTTAATAGAAGCCAAACTACAGACCGACATGTTAAAGGGATCAGAGATAATAACGGAAGTGATGGACTTCAGCCTCCACGACTTCCGGTGAGTCAAATATACGTCGACGTCTTTTCAAAGTTAAAACTGCTGTTAGAGATTTTAATCCGAAATAGATGACTCTTATTTAAAATGTAATACTTATAAATAAATACCCAATCAAAGGAGAGGATGTCGATGTCCGCGTTGAAAGGAGGATTTTCGCTTTTGGGTTAATTTTAATCACTTTCTAGTGAGATTTTTTAATTTCTCACATTCGTTTTCGTGATGATTTTGGTTTTAAAAGAATGTGTATTTTCTTATGTTATTGAGTGATATTTAAATATGTCTCTTTCTTACCCGATGTCCATTCATAGCTATAGCGAGGGGTGGTGTCTATCTTGATTTATGATTTATTTTAATTTCGGATTTCATTATTTAAAAATGTAACATGAGCGAAACATTTATCTGCTTCAATATAAACACTCAATATATGAAAATGTGACCACACATTCAATACTACCGAAAAAGAAAAGAATAATACTTATTAATAAACCCTATATAAAATAATGAGTCTGATTATCGTCGCCTGTGACAGAGATTAACTTTTGCTGACTTCGTGTTTATTTATTTATTTTTTTAAATTTAAATTTAATTCATTTTCTCATGTACCGAATTTGTTTTTAGAACTTCCGCTTTCCTCCGTTCAGAAAAATAATGTCGACACTTGTACACCACACGGTGGCGCTACAATTGTGGCCTTTATGCTCATGTAGAACACTAGAGATGCGATTGTTGAAGCCAATTAAATTCTTGTTTCCTCATCAATATCACAATCTTTTTTTTTAAACTATTCTGTATGGGTTGCAGTTGTGGTTGAAATTATTGTGAAGCTTTTATTGAAGTTATAGGAATAATATAACATCTAATATAAGATATAGTATGAAAGCAGAGTGTCTGAAATATGATACAAGGAAGGAAACACGTCAAACATAAATGGTGTTCTACATGTTCTCATTTCACAAACTGTCTCCCTCACAAAGTTAAGAGCCTCTTTTTTATAATATGTTTGAGCAAAAGTGCAGCAGACTATCATCGAAATCTAGACCTGCTTTGTCGAAGTAAAATCACTCAAGAGACATCATGTACATACTGTCTCTTTTATGGAAATGATAGAAATATGCAGCATTTCATCATAGTTTTAAATACAAGTACATATAGCCCACCAATTTTGGAACAATTAATAAGAAATAGAGAAAATACTGTATCATCTACCAAGTTGTGTTTAAATGTGGGACATCAGCATTTAAAAACTGTGTGGCCCCCTTTTGTTTCTCTCTGTGTGTACATGGTTCTGCTTTTTCTATGCACTTGATACAAAATCAATTTATTCTAGGTCTTATTAATTTTAATTTTATTAATTACTTTATACATCTGTTTGAGAAAATGTTTTCTCTAAAAACACATACAACAAAAATGTCAAGGTCAACTATGTGCCTGCTGATTTAATCAAATAAAATACAGCAGCAACATAGACATAATTGAGAGAGAACAAATTAAATAAAAAATAATGATGAATACAAAATTTCAAAGAAGAATTTCATGTAAAAGCCTATACAATGTGATTATATTGACACGATTGTATTTTGGCTGATTGTAAATATCCATTTGTAAGTAGGCTACCACATACAATCTAATCTGAGTAGTATTGTAATGTTCATTAGGACTATTTATTTGAGGGTTTTTGATGCTAAATCTAAGCTTAAATATCCAAAACACTGAGCAGTGTTTAGATCTCATGAGGAAATATTTGTGGTGATCTCTGTCCGATTACTACGCTCTGGTTTTTAGCTCTTAATGCCAGCTTTTTATCTTCTGTGCTTTCTATTCATTGAGTGTTTTATCTTTTTAAGTGCCTTTAGTGCAGTTGCAATAAACAACTCTTTTTTATTCTGGGTCTAACACCATATGTCCTTCTGTTTTTTTGTTGTTTGTTACACAATAGACTGTTCTGCATTTTGGCCAAACACAAAATTCCCCATGGGGACCCAAAGTATAATTGATTCTATTTTAGTGTTTTGTCTTTTTTAGGGCAGGTGCAACAGTCAACTCACTTGTGTTCTGCATTATTATCCTGGGTCTTACGTGACATGTCCTTGTGGACTGTTCTGCTGCTGCTGTAACATGTTGGCCTAAGACAAATCCCCCCATGTAAACAATCAGGTACATTTGATTTGATGTGACAATACTACTGGTGAAAATAATAATAATAATCTCTGCAGCTGAACGTCCCCACCGAGCTCCATGTCAGTAAAATGTAAATAAAGGCCATCTGCTCTGATATGTAAACAGCAAACCGGCTCCTCCTATCAGGGCGTCCCTTGCCTCTCCGGCCCGCCCCCTGTCACTGCCATTCTCTGCTCCGATTGGCCCCCGGCGGAAGCTCTTCCCTCGCTATTGGCTGCTCTCTTCGCCGTCTGCCAGATGTCGCCCCGCCCACCGGAGGGACGACAAAAACAATCGGCATCCCCCGACCCAGCTCGAAGCGAACAGGGGGGGAGACCCGAACCACGTCCAGCCTGCACACCGACTGACAGCAGCGAGGGAGACATGGTTTCTCCGGTAACCGTGGTGAGTAGGCTAGCTGCTAGCTTCTCGACACCGCTCCAAGCGTTTCGACGGGTTAATTAAACAGGAATAACATCAGCAGCTAGTTTAGCTTCATGATAACAACACTTCCCCGTCAGTCTTTGTCATGAACGCCTCTGTCCCTGTGAGTGTGTGTGTGTGTGTGTGAGTGTGTGTGTGTGTGTGTGTGTGTGTGCCTCCTAATTGTGTCATTAGCGTCGTCATTCATAGCTTAGCATGTCTCACTTTGCTTAGCTCATCTTTCAATAACGAGTAAATAACAATGTGCGGTTGTTTTGCTGGATTTGAAACCAGGTGTGCTCGTGCACCCAGACCACTGTCTGCCTCCTGCGTGTCTTTGTGTCACAGTGAGCATCCGTGTGTGTGTGTGTGTGTGTGTGCGTGTGTGTGTGTTCAAGGAAACAAACAAAGCAGGAACTTTTTTTTTTTTTTTCCCACCATGCAGCAGTTTTCTTCACATGTTGTCACGCTGCTCCTTCATCCACATTCCATGCACTGAAAGATGTTTCCACACATTTCTAAAAGCGGCTCCCAGACAAAAAAGAAAACCTGTCATGTGACGACCCTTTTTGGGTCTGTTTCCCCCCCTCTCTTTCCTGCAGCCTCCAGTAACGCATGCGCCAAACCCTGGTCTGCTGCTGCTGCTGTGCATGGATGCCTTTCTTGTCAAAACCTCTTTTTGCAGCATGCGCTCTAAAGTTTAGCTCATGCATTCAGCTGCAACAGTGCCACTGCAAAATAAAAAGAATATTTATCACAGCTATACATGAATAAATCATCCTGCTCTGGCATCCTCTTACTCTGCTATGACATTTTACCCCATTTGCAGGGGCCATAAAGGACGGTGTGGTGTAACCTGGCCTGTAGTAAACCCTGATGTGTGGCCCATGTGACTCTGGAAGGAGACTGTGCGGTGAAATGCCCGCAACACATACTGGTTGCCTTAGTGCTTGCGAGGCCGTGCAAGTCCTTGGGTTGTCTAGCTTCTATAAATTAAGGCACAAAAGAATGTAGAGGGGAAAAACACCCTGTAGAATAGTGTGTATTTGGACACATATCTGTTTCTTTCCAAAGTGTAATCATATCCAATTTGCGATCATAATAATTAACCATCAACCAAAACATGTAAGGTCGTATTCTCTTAAATTTATCTAATTTGTGTAGCTGAGGTTCTTAATAATAACTAAAACATGTCAGTGGATGTCGAGTATGTGCGTCCACACTCTGTCTCTGTTGTTAA